AGAAAATCAAATCAGACCATTATCTTCAGACTCAAGGAGAGTTTTTTCTAAAGGAGTCAATGGGAAAAGATGACGTATGCAAGGCTGGCGAAGAAGCACTCGTAAACGTGTATGGTAACATGCCCTAAGAGGGACTGGATATACTTCGTTGGAGAAAGTTCACAACAAAAACCATGGCACTAAATAGATCTTTTATCGTGCAAGTTCAGACTCTCCCACCAACTTCCGATGCTGCAAAGTTCCACTCGATGCGAGTTTATCTTCAGTGTCAATACTGGAGGGGAAAAACTGCTGAGGAAATTGACCCCCTGCAATGGGGTTGGACTGTAAAAAGTGATAAACTCTTTCCGATTGAAATGTCAAAGCAGCCAGCACCCGAATTCCTCCTGAAGATAATTCACTGTAACTGCAAGACTGATTGTGACAACCGTAGGTGTAGCTGTCGCAATAATGGCATTTCTTGTTCATGTGGTTGTGGGGAGTGCAGAGGAATAAACTGTTCGAACTCAAAACTTGAACAAGACGAACTTGATGTCGAGGAGATGAGAACACATGACTACATATATCTCTGAGTGACTTTGTTGTTGCTAAAATTTGATCATTCATTGACTTATAGTAAGACCATCACTAAACTATTCTTGGTAAAGATTTTTAAAAAAAATCAAAATTATAGATTTTTCAAGGTTCATTTTTGGATTACCAAATCCATCAAAAACAATATATTGTATTACACAACACGTAAACTTTGCTGGTTGATATATGAGATATAATTTGTTAAAAATACAATTTTAGAAGTTTTATCGTGTTTCAATATGACAAACATTAAGATTTTGCTTTCAAATGAAAACAAAAAAACCTCAACATTTAAAAATTGGAATTTTCCCCAGTTTTAGCTAGTTTTTATGATGTTTTTCTCTATAATCATGATAATATATGGACAAAATGATTGCATATGAATGTGTTACTATCTTTTAATAATTCGTTCATTAAGGGGCTGCATTCTGAAGAAAAAAGAATCAGCATTAATAAAAAAATAACTGAATTTTAGAGTTTTCCCAGTTTTTCGCAGTTTTACTTTCACCCCAAAATGACTCTTTTCCGCAAAATATATTTTGTATATTTTTAATATAAGATGTTGTGTACATAAACTTTAGTTTTGACGTTTAAAAACATTTGTTGCAATTAGTTCACCCTTATTTAGGACAAATTGACTAGACTAATAGTTATCTAATGTATCTATACGTTGTTTAATGACAAATACGTCGAGAACACTAACATAGTCTGGTTTTTAATGCATTACAGTGCATACAGCCACATACCATCAAAATCGTTACAAAATATTGATTAGAGTCCACCAATACTTCAAAATCTGCCAAATTCTTTCTTAATTATCTTAACTATGAAAATCAGAATGCAGTATCCATGACTGGCCCCAAAACTCATGGGTGGATGACCAGTGGCTGATAAGCCAATATGGACATTTTTGGTCTGTATACCATGAGTGGAGGGAATCCTGTCATGGATGCTGGATTCGAGGCTCTAAAAAAAATATATAAGTTTGGAAAACATAGTGAATACACTATTTCACATATTCTAACAACTCTTAAATTTTTGTCCTTACGTCCTAACGCATATTTCATATTTAAACATTTTATGTTTCATACTTAAAATAATCAACTTTGAAATTTCAAAATAACAACATACTTTATTATTCATATATATATATTTATACACCCACTGTTACCTTTAGGAGAGAACTAATATAGGCTATGGCTGTTGTTCAATCCTTTTTCTAAATGAAATAAAATTTGTTGAAATGAAAAATACCATCAAAATAGTTTTAGCTATTCTGATTTGATTTGTACATAGCAATTAAGGCCCCCTCCTTACTATACATATATATAGCTATCTTGGACAGTTCGTTTGACCCTAAGAAAACAATTATTACTTTGTGAATGTGCAAATAATATTTGTTTTAAAATAACATATTTCAAAACAACAGCTAAATTACAGTGTAATGTTTCTTTGATATCATCAATTAATGATTCTTTACATTAACAAATGTATTGTTTAAAGGTATTTTACAGATGAAAATTGTTTAGGTTTTACTTGTCAAATTATAGTTTATTAAATATTTTTTATTGTTCATGCAATGTATTTTATTTTATTTTCATTTATACAGTTGGGCATGACCTTGAAAGAAAAATGAAACATTTAAATTACTAAATACAGGTGTGATACTGGTATTTCCTGAATAATTTCCTTATAACCTGCATATAAAAAATATTTACAAGGGGTGTCAATAGTACCGGTTCATTACAAACAGTTGATGTTGACATTATTAACCATTTTTTTCTTTAATATCTCATCCAATCATAGAATCATTCCTCTAAAAATTACATTCAAAAAAAAAATCATCTGTAATAACAGCATTCCATTTTGATTTGTTTTTTAAAATAGAATTGTTCATCAAATTATTTCCATATTTACAATTTTACTTGTTCATTGTATTTCGAAACCTTTTCGCACACCCAGTATTGCTTTCCTTTTTTAAGGAGATCAACTTATTGTTTCAATATCCAATTTATTAAGACAACAAACATATATATACTAGTAATTTACAACTGTGTGAGACATTGTAACTAATATATATATAGAGAGCATGAAAACATGAAAGATTATGACACGCATTATACATACAGCATTTAGCTTATCGACGTTAATTACAATGGATTGATAAAAAGCTTCGTCTTCCCACGCTACTTATCATCTAGATGAGATCTTTTAAATAAGAACAAATAAAGCAAATGCGATTCATATTTCTGTTCCAGGTGCAGTTCCTCCTCTGTTGGTATATCCTTTTCGTTTGTATTTCCTTTTTGGCAATATGCTTAATTGGTATATTTTTCTGTTGGCATAAACTGATTAAGGTGTTAGGATATTTTTTCTGTCCGTACATATGCTGGTACATATGTTGCTATGACTTTTCCGTTGGTATGAATGTTACAAAACTTCTATTTATATTTCAATTTCTATAGCTTTAGTATATACATGTAGTTTGTCCTGAAAACTACACGTGCTATACATTACCAACACTGACATTGTAAGTATAGCTCTCATTTTATCTGAAATTGAGGATTTATTTACAAAACAACATGAGGAATGGATGCATGAAATAAAGGTACATGTGAATCAATTAGTTATATTCTGAACCCAAGAAGAAAAATATGGACAGGGAAAAAGAGTAAACAAGGGAGACGGTAGAGTGGACGCTCTCCGGCCGCACGTTCTAGTAGAGCGGTCAGTCATTAATCAGCAAATCTATTACATTTTGATACGTATACGTATTGAACATGTATATATATATACATATAATCCGGGACAACCAAAATGCGACAATGACAGTCGAAAAGCAAAATCGCTCGTCATACCGCAAGGATTCGTACTAAAACAAAAATAAAAAAATTCAACCAAAAATAAAAAATGGATACAAAATACACAAGCATAAAATCAATATTATTCATGTTATCCCGCCTGCTTAGTCAAGACCCGGACACGAGATACGTTGGAGAAAAACAAATGACTACAGGAGTGTCGTTTCCACCTCTAAAACGTGATATACCAACACAAACGCACATAACCACCGAACGATGACGCAGGTGATTGTTTCGTGGCAGGCAGTATGATGTATTTCTTAAGGCTGTACACCTCTGAGAAGTCAAAAATTTCCCGTATTAAACTTTTTTTCTTATATTGATTTTTGGAAAAAGGAGATAATGGCATAGAAGAAAATGCAAAAAGAAATATATGTCCGTGTGTTCGCTTTTGTGCTATGATCGGTCAAAGATACCAATTTAACACGTTAGGTGATTTGAGGTGAATTTTCGGGTTTTGACCATTTGCAGAACAAATTCATACAATTTCTTCCAAGTGTGTGATCAGATATGTATGAATGTTTGAAGAATTGATAAAAATATCATTTTCTTTTAAATTATAGAAGTAAAATTTCTTAATCTTATTCTTTTTACTCAGAAATGCGATTTTAGTTACCCCTACCCCTTATTTTTTAATGAAAAATGCACATTTTTTCACCAATTTTTGCTGATTAAACGCTTGATATAAAAAATTCCTGTGTTAAACTTTTTTTGGTATTCAATGAATCAAAAGAAAATGTGTTTCTCTTTCTAAAACAGCCACAAAAATGGGGGGTCGGTGTGCTTCTTTTCTTGTCCCGTTATTATTTGTGTTATTTTTCACCTTTTTCGGGGTCAAAAATCAAAAGTGCTTCAGTTACCCTAATATGTAAAAAAAAAAAAAAATACCAATAATATATAACTTTCCACTTTTTTGCATATTATTTCCAAAATATTAGTTTCCTTCTCTCCACTTCGCTCCACATATCAAATGACCCTAAACACTGAGCAGTCACAGCTGAGGAGGAAGTTTTAGGAATACCAATACAACGTCTACATGCATATCTCTGTGTACGTTCCAACTCTTCTACAGCTTTCTTAGTATATAAATTCCAAAGCTCACAACCATACAACATACTTGAATATACAACACGTTTAATAATATTAAAACTTAATACAGGGTTCAGCCCATTGGGGTGAATACCAATACTTAAAAGTGAATTTAGGTTAGTCCTTTCTTTCACACAAGCATCAAAAATACTACTGCTTGATTGTAGGTTATGGGTAAACGTTATCCCAGCGTACGTTTTCTTTGATGTCATTCGAATTATATCGGAACCAATTTTACATTGTATAGGCCCACATTCTTCTGACATCACACGTCGACGTGGAGAAAAAATGGGAGGAGCTTAACATGATTGATCATGATTCTATCGCAGATTAGAACGTGGTCCGTATCCAATCAAAACACGCGTTGCAAACGAATCGTGTTAGAATTAGGGGATGGTACGTTGTTTTTCGTGTCTATACTGGCCATTAGAACATGACATTTGGTTTTAACACATTGTTGTTAGGCGCATCAGAACACCCCTTGACGGGCCCTGTAGAAACGTATATAACACCTAGACTAGTATTTATTTGCTAACAGACGTTACATAATCAGATGTTCACAGTCCATCTCCTTCAATAACATATGAACGGTAAGTGCTCTCTGTTTCGTTCTACGAGTGGACAGCTAATTAATGAAGCTGCTACAAGCTGACAGATTAATTAGTATATGTCGCATGACAGTCTTCTTCACTGAATTTTATTGATGTCTCTTTCAACTATAACTTTTCATTTTGAATTGAATATCTTTCTTTTCTTACAGCGACAATGAGCTATTACAATAGTACGGTCCATACGTTTGGAAAAAATAGTGTCATATATTTTCTAAAACGTTTTATTGCATTCCATATCCATTTATGTTTCAACAATGTTGATAATTTAGGTTTTCGATTTTTATTTAAAGATAAACTTAAATATTTTTTTATGTTATGGAGACATAACACAAAAAAAACGGAGTGTACTCTAAATAAACGGCGAAGCGGTTTATAATGAGAGTACACTCCGGGTTTTTGTGTTATAGCTCCATAACATAAAAAAATATATTCAAGTTAATCCTCATGATTTAATCTACTATACACAATCCCTTTGGAAATCCACTTTTCTTAGAAGTTATTACGCCGCTGTATCAGCCAATCAAAAGCGCCGTTACAAACGGCGACGTCATTCTTCACGTTATGGGCTGATAACATAAATGTGTAAGCAAATGAAAATGCTTGTTACAAGCAAGATTAAATTATTTTGAAATATCTAATTTTTTCCATTTTTCAAGGGTTATACCACTTTTTTATTCAATATTTCTTATACCAGTTATCGTATGAATTTGAATAATCTTTAATTTATGAGAAATGACCCTTTACGCCCCTAGTACTTTTCATTCAGGAAATTGATAGAAACACACAAAACCATAATTAAAACCGATGTTAGTTTTATGAAGTGTTAACACAAAACATTCAATTCTAACCCCGTCCGTTTTTATATTTTTAACATTTGGATTAGCAGACAAACTGACCTGTGACCTCTGATCAAACTCTTCGTGCACAAACGGAATTTAGAAAGAAATATTTTAAGTGGCTTGCATGAATAACGATAATATTTTTGATACAATTTAACGCTATATGCGGTATTCCAAATACATGATCCAAGAAATAAAAGTCAGGACAGACAACATTATGACTCAATCATGTATACAAAATGTATTTCAATTGTCATTGACCGAAACGAAACACACAAAAACGACCTGGGTTTCTGTGTCAGTCAGTGTAAGTATATATCAAAATCACAGTGTTGTTGTTTGTTTCTGTGCTTGTTAAATTCCTTTTTTTTTGCAATGAAATTTCAAAGCTGTAGTTTAGATTAATTTTTTTTTTATTCGGACTTTTATTCAACAGCAGTTAATCTGTAAAATGTTTAACAATGTGGATGACTCTATAAGGATTATAATTCAAAGGTGATTTGAATGACAAATTACATCATTTATCTTACTTACAGTAAATTTTGGAACCAAACATGACTACGGAACAGTACGATGACCCCGTTATTCCAAAGTTCTGGAACCTGCCAATCCTACGCCACCTCAACAAGCTGCAGGACATGTCAAACTCCTCCAAAGGAGTTCCGGATTATATCAAAACACAGATTCAGAACTGTATAGACTGTATCAATGTAAATATCAATATTCAATAGTTGACATTATCTGGAAGAGGAACTCAAACAACATACAACTTTACTCAATGAATCATGTTAAAAATGATTTTTAATTATCGCTGTTTTCGAATGAGTTACATTATCAACATATCAATAGAGTTCTTAGAACGTCATCTTCACATCAGAACACATTTCACATCAGATCACATTTAACAACAGATCACATTTCACAACAGATCATATTTTACATCAGATCACATTTCAGATCACATTTCACAACAGATCACATTTCACAACATATCACATTTCAGATCAGATCACATTTCAGATCACAATTCACAACAGATCATATTTCACAGCAGATCACATTTCACAACAGATCACATTTCACGGCAGATCATATTTCAGATCACATTTCACAACAGATCATATTCCACAACAGATCATATTTCACAGCAGAACACATTTCACAACAGATCATATTTCACATCAGATCACATTTCAGATCACATTTCACAACAGATCATATTTCACAGCAGATCACATTTCACAACAGATCACATTTCACAACAGATCACATTTCAGATCACATTTCACAGCAGATCACATTTCACATCATATCACATTTCACAGCAGATCACATTTAACAACAGATCACATTTCACAGCAGATCATATTTCACATCAGATCACATTTAACAACAGATCACATTTCACAACAGATCATATTTCACATCAGATCACATTTCAGACCACATTGCACAACAGATCATATTTCACAGCAGATCACATTTCACATCAGATCACATTTCACAGCCTATCATATTTCTCAACAGATCACATTTCACAAAAGATCATATTTCACATCAGATCACATTTCACATCAGATCACATCTCACAGCAGATCATATTTCACATCAGATCATATTTCAGACCACATTTCACAGCAGATCATATTTCACAGCATATCACATTTCACAACAGATCATATTTTACAGCAGATCAGATTTAACAACAGATCACATTTCACAACAGATCATATTTCACATCAGATCACATTTCAGACCACATTTCACAACAGATCATATTTCACAGCAGATCACATTTCACATCAGATCAAATTTCACAGCAGATCACATTTCACAGCAGATCATATTTCACAACAGATCACATTTCACAACAGATCATATTTCACATCAGATCACATTTCACAGCAGATCACATTTCACAGCAGATCATATTTCACATCTGATCACATTTCAGTTCACATTGCACAACAGATCACATTTCACAGCAGATTACATTTCACAACAGATCATATTTCACATCAGATCACATTTCAGATCCTATTTCACAACAGATCATATTCCACAACAGATCATATTTCACAGCAGATGATATTTCACAGCAGGTTATATTGTAGAGCAGTATACACTTAACTTCTTCAGATACATGCTACACTATATGACAAATATCTCATTTTAAAAATTGATCCTCATTAAGAACATTTTGTATAAATAAATAGATATTTTGCAACCAGTAGTGGGGCTTTGTTAAATATTAAATGACAATTAAAAACTACATAAGAATCCATACATTATTATCAATTTCGTAATTCTGAATGACTCGCTATTGCTACAGTGTTTCTAACATTTCATGTATTGAATATAAGCCATATCAAAGATATTATACGCGAAATGTTTATTAACTCTAACTCATTCACCCCAAAATTGAATAATGAACTATCCCAGCCTTTGAATTGGAAGAGTTCAAATGTGTCTTCAGGGGTGAATGAGTTAAAACATTCAAATAACTTCTCTTATGCATTTAGTTGACATTAAAGAGCTGGGTGCTTCACTCTTGCTTAAACAATATTTGTATGTCTAGTCTAGAGAGGACTACTGTGATTCCACCACGTCCCCATCCAGCACAGCGATCGAGAATATGATCACAAAGACAAACCAACATCCCTGGCAACAGGTGTACGACAGAGGAGACATCCAGTGGAAGGTTGGGCCAGGCATGTTAACAGGGCAAATGGAGGGTAAGACAGTCGAAGGTTGTGCTAGGAATGTTAACAGGAAAAATGAAGGGTAAGGCAGTGTAAGGTTGACCAGGCATGTTAACAGGGCAAGTGGAGGGTAACTTAGTGAAAGGTGAGGCAAGGCATGTGGACTGGGCAAATGGAGGGTCAGACAGTGACAGAAACCTGGTTATCAGAAACTACATTTTATACCATCAACTGATTGTCAAGTGTATGGTTATAATTCGGAATACAAGGCAATTCGTTCAATTTACAATCCTGCTTTTAAGACAATGTTACAGGTGTAATTTATTGTTCAGATTTGGGTAAACATACTTAGCGTAAAACTTTCCAAACTTATGAGCATAAAGAATTAGGTTAATAGGGATCTGCCTATTAAATTTGCTTGCATTTTAACCATTTTTATGTCAGGGAACAAAAAAGCAATAGAAATAGAGGGGTCTCATTGAAAATTTGAAAATAATCGTAAATATTCACACACCATTTTACGACCAAGCCTAGCCCGAGGCCTGGCATTATGTATGAGCATACCGAACATGGTTAAATCACAAATTACACGTTACCTTGTTAACATTTATGGATGTCAAATATTGTGAAACAACAAGTGGATTGCATATTCTTAAAACATAGTAAGTTGAAACATGCCAACAGGGTCAAACATTCAACAACTGACGAATAGGTCTGGGCATATCAATTTTGAAATATGATCAAAATAAATAAACCGTGGATATATCAGTTCCTTCGTTGTCAGAAAGCATCCTTCACTTTTTATTCAATGATCCTCAGTATCCAACTCCTGGCAATAAAATTCTATAAGCATTAATTGATTTTTACAGGGAGCTTTCTAAAAACTCTTGTCAGTATGGCGAATGCCAGGAGGATTCTTGAAATCGGCCTGTTCACTGGAAATAGTGCTCTTGCCATGGCGGAGGCACTTCCGGTTGACGGGAAAGTGATCGCTTTGGAGATATCGGGATACATTGGGAAATTCGCTCGACAGTTGATGGATGAATCACCTCATGGAGAAAAGGTTGACATAATGATAGGTAAGGAAACAACACAATAAAAGTTACTTAGTATGAAATAACCAAACAATCTTTGTATTCACTCTTGATGCATTTTACCTGTCTAAATAAATGATCGTGTGTCCATGTGTTGTAGGTCCGGCAAAAGATAACATGGAACAGCTTGCACAAGAAGGACAAAAGTTTGACATAGTCTTCATTGACGCCAATAAGGAGGGCTACTTAGACTACTACAAAGTAAGTGAATGTTTGATAGGATTTTTTTTTTTTTTTTGCACCAGGACAGAAGGCTTAATATACTACTAACACCATCGTTATGGTGCCAGACTGACAGTGCATTCATTCCAGGTTTCAGCATTATTTATTTTTTTTAAACTTGAATATGCTACGAAGGACTTATACTAAAATCAATAGCCAGATATAAAGGCTCGCGTCATATCGAATTATCGTGCAGTACAAAGTAGTTCCATATTGTTTTGTTTTTAATAATGAAAATTTTAAATGCAATGAAAACAATAATGAAAAAATAAACATTTCAATTTCAATAGCAGTAACATTATTTTTTCAGGACAAAAATGCAGTTAAATAAAAAGAGTACCTGTAGTTGCATAGGAGTAGGTTTCCACGGTTTTAACCAATGGCAGCACCTTCAGTTTTTATTACACGTGTGTATTACCATATTATGACATGTCCGTATGACATAGTAAAATTGGTCAGTTAGGTGATAAAGGCAAATAAATCAAATCTATGAAAGTATATGGCTGCAAGATCGGGTCTCGATTGCACCAGACTACTTTAAACATTATATAACTGTCATATAAGTCGGCTCTCTACTGCACTAACACGTACGTGACATGTTGAAGTTGGTTGCCAATGCACCAAACAGCAGGGATAGAAAATACAAAGTGTATCACTGCATGGTTAGACTGGGTGTTGATTCTAACACTATGAACAATCGTATAATGCTAACTAGTATAAACGATCATAAAACCTGTTGCGCGTCAAAAAACCCTCATATAAGGTTTTCATTGACCTTTTTTTAGCTATGCGTAAATGGTCACACACATAAATATTGTTTTTGTTTAAAGCAGAGTTTTAGATGAAACCTTTACTATTGGAAGTTTGTTTGCTTATACTGATATCTTTTAATATCAAAGAATAATATGATCCATTTCTAATGGCAAGCAATTATGGTACCGACCAATTAACTATCTTGTCTAACTGGGTTTTTTCTAGATTGTCATGGACAACGACATGCTTACCCCTCGTGGCACTATTCTGATAGACAACGGCTTACACGGAGGCATGGCGTACCTGTCCCCAGAACAATCCCTTCTCCCTGGGCTGGAGGGGTCCAATATGATCATTACAAACTTCAACGAGTATGTGTACAACGATGACAGAGTCGCCCAGGTAAAAAGTAGTCATGTATATTAATTGTTCGTATATTAGGTAGATTTGAGAATCTGTTACCTGGATACGATTTACTTCATTTACTTCATTTTCTTTCTTTCGTTTCTTTTAAACGCATTTCTCCAGACTGTCTTCTGAATTTAGAAGAGTAATGGGAGGTAACTTAACATATATTGATCCTCAGATCGTTCACTAGACTTAGTAAATAGTGTTCCTCAGATTGTCTACCGTATACTATCAGTTGACCACAGATGCTTTATCTTAACTCCTTTTCCTTCTTTCTCTCTATCTGTCGCTCCTTCTCTCTTCTTTCTCTCTCTTTATTCTCTATACTGTCCTTTGCGTTGCGGCACTATTCATTTGAATTATTCGTGTGATAAATATGGCTGACTGCATTACAACTTTTTCGGCAAACTGTCAAGGGTTAGGTAATAATGTTAAAAGAAAAGATGTGTTTTCGTACTTACGAGGTAAATCATATAATCTATATTGTCTTCAAGACACCCATTTCACGGTAGAGAATGAAGAAATAATAAGAAATGAGTGGGGTTTAAGTTGTTATTTTAACTCTTATAAGTCGAGCTCGAGGGGAGTTGCAGTTCTGTGTAACAACAATTTTGAATTTAATGTTTATAAAGAAAAAAAAGATTCATCAGGCAATTTTTTTCGGACTAGATTTAGAAATAGAGGGCTCACGAGTAACACTTATTGTAATATATGGCCCTAACACAGATGCTCCCGAGTTTTTTTAATTGATATCAGTGATAATGTGTGGAGATTTTAATCTAGTTTTAAACCCAGGCCTTGATTACGATCAAAACTATAGACAAGTTAATAATCCAAGGGCTAGGAATAAGGTTCTGGAAATTATAGATACATTTAGTTTAGTAGATATTTATAGAGAACATCACACTGATACAAGAGGATATACTTGGAGGAAGACTAATCCATTGAAGCAAGCACGTTTAGATTTTTTTCTAGTTTCAGAGTGTTTATTGGGTGGTGATAACAATGCAGGTATAGATGCTGGATACAGATCTGATCATTCTTCTCCAAAAAATTCTATAAAGTTTTAGACATTTAAGAGGGGAAAGGGGCTGTGGAAATTTAATAACTCTCTATTATCTGAGAAAGACTTTCTTGATGTTATCAATAAAACAATTACTAAAGTTAAATTGCAGTATTCTCTACCTATATATAACGTTAATAGTTTATCGGAAATCCCAAATGAATTGATTCAGTTTACAATTGATGATCAACTTTTTTGAAGAGGGGAAACTATTTCTTATACCTCGTAAAAGAAATAAACAACAAAACTCTTGAGAAAAAGAACTAATACAAAACTCCAGTGGCTCCAAGTAAGAATTTTCCATCATATTTTGACAACAAATATATATCAATGCAAAGCCGGCCTCTCTCATAATCCCTTGTGTTTTTTGCAGTCTAGATAGGGAAACAATAATTCATACATGATCGGAGTGTGCCATTGTACAAAATTTCCTATACAGTTTTGAAACACTACTAGAAGCTTCAATAATTCCATTTTCTTTTAATAAGGAATCCTTCCTTTTCGGAATAGTGTCACAGTCAGGAACAGGCAACAGACTTGATAATGAAATTTTAATTGTGATCAAACACTATATTTATAAAACAAGATGCGTTCAAAACACTTTGTCAGTAAATGCTTTAATTAACAGCATAAAAGACCATCATTCTGTACAAAAATATATAGCATGTTGCAAGGGGGATAATTTTGTAAGAAAACTGGAAAGAGAATTGAAAAAAATGGAACCACCTCCTGGAATTATAAGCCAAAATTAAATCATTTAATATCATCAAGTCAGAAGATACAATACATCTCCTCCCCATACCACCCAAAGTTCTCACTTTATATTTTGAAAATGTAGCCAGCACATTCTAAGTTTTCACAAGGAGCTTTTCTGGCAGTTATGTCCCTTTTATCATACCTTTTTGTCCCTTTTTTTGTGAATTTAAGTTGAAGTTTCTGTCTGAACTTATTATAGTTTATTTCTTTTATGATATAAATATATTTTGTCCTGAGTATTACCCTTATTTCTCAGCCACATTCTTTTTAGGAAACTTAGTATAATAAACCCAAGGGTAAATTGATATGGCTGTATTTACTTGCAGTTTAAAGCCATCTTACTTACAATTAATACAAAAGATTATCTTATAATCTTATTCTAAACACAAAGTTCTGTTTATTATTGAGCTGCAGTGCAAAAACCAGATTCTCCTTTTCTTCCTTTTTCTGTTGACTTTCTCCTTTTTTCTTTGCTATATTTTTTTCTCTCTCTTCTTCTTTTCTATTATCTCTCTCTCGGTTCTCATAAAGGCAATATATGTGTACATGGGTACCATTACATGTACTTGCGTCTAATAAATCAACTGATGTAAGTAAGAGTATATATGAGTCGTGCGAGGTATGAATATATAATATGAATTGTTTGAATGTAACTATACCATATATTGCAAAACAATCTTGAATAAAAAAGAAAATTACAAAAAACAAAACAAAAAACAACAACTATCAAGTAGAGTAAGGGAAGGTAACTTAACATATATTGATCCTCAGATCGTCGTTCACTAGACCATATACTATTAAGTCATACCTGCCAACCCTGGACATACTGAAAGAGGGTTATGACCCTCTTTTGAAAATTAAAAAGAGGGTCATAGTGCGCGACGGCTTTTTTCGCAACAAATATAAGAAAAATAGATATTAAATTATAACTTAAATATTTTAATGATGTAAAAGTTACATTCTACATTCATTGAACTGTTCTTCCAGCAGATCTAGCTGATCCTCATCCACAATACCAAATTCAAAGCTGAAAAATAAAAAGATTTGTCAACAACACAACTTATAAAATTAATTCATAATAATATATATGATACTGTGTTTTCACAGGCATTTTTTATGTCAATTGAAATGGTCCCGACAATAAGATGTCACATTCTGCTCATATAAAATACCATTTTGTTTCTGTCAATGAAAATGGTCCTGACAACAAGAAGTTGCACCCTTCTCATATAAAATATCAGTTTTATACGAGTAGGGTTTGAACTCTTATTGTAAGGATCATTTTGATTGACAGAAACAAATCATCAAATGCCTGTGCGTGTTTTTGACTAGAGTGCAGAATGCAGCGTTTGGTCCACGACCACGGGACTTTGTACACTATAACTCATTTTCCTACGACATTTGATATGTGTACAATTATCTTTTCTTTTAGCAATTCGTGTAGTAGAACCTGCAAGTCCCGATAAAAACTTCTTCCTTCAAGAAGACATAACGTTACCTTCAAAATACGATCTATTCTACGTAAATACAACTCAATTATTCGTTAAAAACCTGACTTATAACTTGTCGGCAAGTTCAGTAACAACGTTCTTTATATAAACATTTGTAAAAACAGTTCTAGTACGTATATAAACAACTCACAACTTACCTGTTGGTGAGAAACGGAAACAGGAAATAGATCGTCTTTCTTGTGAAGAAGGATGGAAAAGTCTAGAGAATTCCGAGTGACTTCGGTAACTTCTAATATACGAAAAGATTCCGGGTGAAAACGGGTGAAATTGACGAAATCCGGGTCAATATCGTAACCCGGCGGGTGAAGTTATAAAAGCGGGTGAAGGGCTAAAATCCCGGGTGTAACCCGACAAAATCGGGTCACTTGGCAGGTATGTTAAGTAGAGTAAGGGGAGGTACATTGTAACTTCTATATATCATCTACCAGATTAAAAAGAGTCAGGGTAAGTAAGTTCTTCAAAGATAGTAAATGACTTAAAATATAGAATCTCAATGATTTCTTAACCTCTACTTGTTACACAGTAAGTGTAATGGAAATAAGGAACAATGTTGTACATAAATCAGACACCCAATCAATGTATACGATACATCTCCCTACACACTGAGAGCGTACTTAGTATACAATGTACAAGTTTGTACCGATAGCAGCCACATGTACATGTATCCAATGTCACAATAATGGAAGGCTACTTACTCTTAGGTAAAAAGCTTCAACCCAGTCTACAGTATCATACAAGTAGTATTTTAACTCATCAAGGACACAAATATGTGTTTGCCATAGAGGGAATAAAAACATCTGTTCAAGCAGTTAAACAATATCGGCAGATTCAAGGAAAATGATTGAAAAACCAAATGTTTATTATATATGTATCCGAAACGAATTACTGATCAAGACTTGTTTAAATCATCATGTTTTTTTCAGGCCGAGGAAACATAGCAAATATTTTTATATCACGATGCTGGTGCAATCAAGACTATGAATTATTCAATGAGTAATATATATCAGCATTCCTCGTCATTCTGGCCATATTTTTGATCAGCCCGGGAATATTCTCACTCAAATATCATTTTAAGAGTTCAAATAGAGATAACTCTTTCGATGTGAATGTCATGGGATAAGTTGATATTGTAAAAGCAACATTTAAGTTGGGGTTTTATTCACTATCCCCAATAAATTCATATTCATTCTCTAATACTTTCATACTGTATTTTTAAACAGGTGATGATTCCTATACGAGACGGAATAATGGCGATCAGAAGGAAAGATGAATTCGAGGGAAAACTGTAAAATGAGAAATATTTCTGATAATGAACTTTATGAAATGTAAAACAAATTTCACGCAATGTGTCGTTTGTAATTCATTTAATTGTTTTCTGTATAGAGACATCAATTAAAAAGGCGTATCATTAATCTTATTCCACGTGTAAATGCAGAGTTTTGCCAATTATTTCGATCAATGTAAATTAACCTAATCTTTTTGCTTTAAAAAAAGTGCAAACGATGTTGACGCTGTTGTATTAATTTAGTATATATAAACCTGTTTTCTTGGTGGTTTTTTTCTATGCGTAATATCTGCTTGTCATTATAACCTTGGTGATAAATGACAATAAAAATAATCTGTCATGTTGTGTTATTAATGTTAGATGTGCTGTTCATTTTTATCTAAGAAATAACATATATTTAATTATCAAGAATATTATGAAAAGTATATGTCATGTTCGTTAAACATGCGTATTAACATTCAATCTTTAACGTCATAATACCCGGTGATAACCGATCATACCCGCTTATAAACGATACTGACCGATAGTAACCGATAATATCCTTCAGAAATCATCAAGTATAACAACCGGAAAGTAGAAGAGCTAATACGTCAAAGACGAAGAAAGACAAACTGTTCATTTTACATGCGAGTGTATTTTTCTTATATTTTTTTCATTAAATGACATTATATGTTATATCAAAATATTTGTCTAGACAATGAGCGATAACATTTCCCTGACCAACCATGATGCGCATGTTATCTTTGTTGATGTAATACATGCTGGTACAGGTAATCTACACACGCTGATTCAACATTGTCCAGATACACTGTAGACTTATATCGTGGCACTGTCTTCTTTGCGACATATCTTTGAAGTGCGGAACGTTTCTGTTTGTGAACGTGACAAAAGTCGTTTTCACTCACGTACAACAGTTGAATTAACCTGGTGTGTAAACGTTCTTTAGTTCGGACCATATCTATTATGTGTTAAAGGGTTGAGGTTAATTTCACTATTTTCTTTCATCATTTCACAGTCAGACATGTCCTTTCATCCGTTGTCTTGATGCATACTTTTGCAGGTCACAGGTACACTTGTAAATGATTGTAAATTGTATGATCGTAATTTAATATTTAATAACAGTTATACATGTATTATTGAAAACAATATGTGATTACAAGTATCAGGGGCTTTCACGGAAACACGCAGCAATTTCTTCGTAATGTATAAAAATTATCCCATTCACAGAATCAGGTAGACGGTAAATAATCGGTCATCCATTGATAAAAAGCGGGCAAATAAGACTGACAGCGACGAAAATCAAAGAAATAGCAACAAAGTTTTAATTCAGCAGTTTTGTGAATAAGTCTCACCAATTAAAACGTTATAGACTTGGTCCAACTATAATGATTGTGTTGAGTCAACTATAGTACTAGAGGGGACATGGCTTTTGTCACATACACAAACAAAGTTGCATCTCGAACTTCAAAGAGGTGATTGCAAAGAGTTACCGTTTGGAGATTGGCAACAATCAATCCGGATTGGCTGTATTGTAACAACTTGAAGAGAGGAGTTTTAAATATTTCCTATATTTGTTTTCCATACTTGATAAAACATGAAAATAAGACATTTCAATTGATTTCTTGCTCAACATTTGACCAATAAATGTATACTTTGTAAATCTACAATATAGTATTATTGCTATAATATTATTATATTAACCTTTGTATTTCTCCGAATTCTGCTATGTTGGCATGGATCATAATGAATTCTGAGTTGGAAACCTAATATATCCTTTTATTTGCTAAACTTGATACGACCTTTACATTAATCACCGGAAAATAATGTCTGCCATTGGTTTTATTGACAGTGTCGCTGTTTAACAGTCGTGTGTCGGACATGTATTCCATGTCAATACACTTATTATATACAGTCACGTCTACAGCCTGTGTTGTATTTCCTCTGAATGGGCAGACATAACAGTAACATCAAAGCTTGTGACGTTGTTGTCGATATTGGGTCTACACCGTGCTACTTTAAACACTTCACTTTGATGATCACTCTAGCGTCTATACTCATACAATGAACTAACGGCCTCATTTAAAAATAAGCATCCCAAGTATGGTATCTACGTGTAAATATATTTTTACCGCTAATGTATAAATAACGAAATTTCTTTTTAATTACGATAAACGCTTTTATTTCATATTGTACTGTACTAACAAATGAGTATATTACAATCAATAAAAACCCTACAAAGAAGAAAATAGCAAATTAATTATTCCATCACCGCACTTTAACTAACAAAACTGTCTAGATATTTCAAGATTGATGGAAAGTCGTCCGAATATGGAATAATATAGCAAAGCTTGTATTCAAGATCTCTTCAGTTCCTTTTAATCTTATTAAACAGACCATTACCATTCCTCCGACAATAGATATACCTCCATTTATCAAAGAGTACATATACTGTGTAAACGACAGCAAACAAGACCATTCCCACAAACATAAGAATATCTAGAAGATAGTACTGGTACCAGGGCATGTCTACCGAGTACGAATGGACAAACTTGTTTCCATATCGAACTATGTGATCTACCCAATATGAAGCATGCTGTAGGGGACTTTCAGATCGACCACGGAATATCGTTGACGCATTCTTTATAGTCCGTATGTAACGTTTCTGTGTTGTAATGTTCCTTAAAGCTTCCTCAATGTCATTGACACCAAATGTGCAAAATTCGAGTACAACGCCATACACTTTTTGCCTCATACGTTCACAGTTGTAATATTGATCGGAAAACAGTGGAAATCCTATCATCGGAATACCGTGATACAAGGCCTCAAATTGACCATTGTTTCCACAGTGAGTCATGAATGCAACAGTCTTAGGGTGGCCTAAAAGGTCATTTTGTGGTATCCAGGGTGAAAACATGATATTTTTATCTATATATCCCGAATTGCCATGTTTTAAGATGAAATTTAAGTCAGTGTGTCGTTTAAATGCTTTGACAAAAGTATCAATTCGTTCTTGAGGGAAACCATTCAGTCCACTTCCTAGCGACACGATAACAGCACCATACACACTCGAATCCATGAATGTCTGAAACAATTCCGATAAACGTTTAGACGGCTGGGTAGATATTCCTCCAACAAATGCAATGTGAGGCAAAGTCGGTTTGGGATAGTCAATGAGAAAGTCAGTTTCCACTAAATGAAAAGAGGCCTTCGACGTCAACTGGTTTGCTGTGATTGTTGACTTATTTGACGTGTATTTGGCGATATTTGTAATTGACACTAGGTAGCTAGGAGCTATTTCCATCACAATAGATGTTAGAACATTGTGTACTCTTTCAGAGAAACTCATTGTGTCACTCAAAACAAACCGATGATAGAAAGGAGTTGATGCTGGAGAAAATGGAATCCGCATCCTCACGGGGTCATACAGAACTCCAAAATAGATGTAGGGCAAAGCAAGTTTATAAGCCAAGGATGCAAAGCATTCGGCTAGAGGAATATTGTCAACAATTGCCAACTTAAATTGTCTATGTTTAAGAAGTGTGAGAAGTGACGTGTCGTTATGAAAATCATCGCATACCTTTACTATGTTTACTTGCTCTGAAAGGCTTGATGTTTTACCGATTATGTTCAAGTGGCATATCTCTTTAGCTAATGTTGTCTCGGCGCCCTTAAAGTCTGCTTTGTCAAATACACTTGAAATGATAATATCGATTGCAGCGTTAGACCGAAGTTTCAACTTATTAGCTATCAGTGTTGATGTTACGACGGTGGCTGTGTGGCCATAGGTTCGAGTCACATAGTGGACAACATTCATGAGGTTACGGGTGTGGCTGAAGGTTGGTACCGCCAATACAAGAATGTGTTCTGCACTACCTGGATCAACGTGGTTTACAAGTAGAACGCATGATATCAGAACCAGGAGAAACATTGTCCTGCAACAACAAATCAGTCTAAATTATAGTCAGTCACAACAAGAACATTTACGATCCCCGACATTCGCATCCAACAAACGGAAACTTAACGAAAGGACTAGGACGGGAAAAAACCTTCATATTTCCTCCAATGTCAATCCATCGGTAAATATAGAAAAACCTGCTATACTTTTATCTATTTGTTCACAAATAAAAAAAACATTGTAGAGTTCATATTTCCCGGAGGCACATATTTGCCGACTGTTATTTAATATGAGCAGTAAGGTACTTGCCAAATCGTCAGAAGGACCTGAGCCATTATTTATCAAGCTATTCCAACAATAACTGTAATGTATTATGTTATTTTACTTTTCTAGTCGCTTTTTGTCTTAAAAACAGTTGCAATGTGTGACTATGAAGGGATACAATCATATTTAATTCGAATGAATATAAAACAAAACAAGGAAGGGTTATTATGACTGATAAATGTACGTAGGTCACGCCTACATAGCATGAACACCGTCCTAAGACTAAAGATAATGCTTTTGGTTCGTTACACATTAATGTAGTGCATTTCTGAATTTTTGACTTGTGATTAAACAAATTTCAATTTCCTTCCGGTGATTGAAATGAAATGCATTTCATTCTGATATGAATTATGTTTTTTTGGGAAAGTAAATATTATGTTGTTGAACTATGAGCACGAATGTATGGGTCAAATCATAGTTCAAAGCGGTTGTGCCCTCGTAATAAAAAAAAAAAAAAAATGAAATTGCCTATCATAAGCTTACCTGGTTATTGTTGTTCAGTAGTCTGTATAAACTATTCTAGAATTATTCGAGCAATAAAACATATTGTACATAATAAATATGTATATAATAAGGTTTACAAAAGGACCTATCAAATGGTACAAGTATGTCTAAAATGGATGCAACAATACAAAACAAATGTCTACAAGAAAAAATAACGTAAATACAAATGACCTGTCATCACGCAATTAACCTGCTAAAAAGTGTTTAGTATCATACCGAATCGATAAGCCTTGGTATGATAATATTTCCATAGAGTAACAAATTATTATTTGGTTTTCACTTACCCAGACAGCCTTTGGTTATATAAAAATGGTGTTTCCGGTCCCTATAGGTTTTATAACGGCAACTGGCAGTGAACGATTTTTTGCTGTCTGTTTTATACACAAAGTTGACCTTGAAAAATTGACCCGACGAATAATGTGTTATTACTGGCGACAATATACATAATATATTTTATATTAGCCCAAATCAGAATCCATTAACATTATAATCTAGTGTATATATTAATCATGCATCTTTCATCGTTCATTGGATGCTAAAAACATCTTTATATGTGTAGCACTGTTGCGGCAATCATGGTATAGCCACACACATACATAGACATTATCGCACTCAGATCGATCTTGTTTCCCTCTAACAGTCATAACCTTTAGGACCACCTTGGATACATTGATATATAGTTTCCTTCTTTCCTTCTATTTAGGCATCCCTCATTGCCGTTATTTCATGATACAAAAAATAGCCTAAAAGCACAAAGTAATCACAAAGTATATATGAAATTTCCAGAAAAAGAATGTTAATGAAGAAAAAAGATATCAAGTTTTTTGGTAGGTGTCCTGACTGCGGCATTTGACAGTCACCTTTGCCTGGAACAACTTTTTACAGGATCGGTCAAAACATTGCAAATATTGTAACATAAATAGAACAGTGTAAAGAATAATGCCAATGAGCTAAATAGTTGATAAATTGTATCATTTTTTTCATTTTCGCTGTAAGTCGTCATCAATACATTAAGCCATTGTATTACGTGCCTTAGACATATTTTTTATATGTGAATCGATAAGAAAAAGAACAGGATTTTATAATTTGTGACTTCTTTTGTAAGAACATCTGTTTAAATTCAATAATATAATAAAGTCCTTTTCATCCAACTTTTTTTTTTAAATGCTAAGGACATATATCCGATACAATGATTACTGTAAGGATACAAAAGTCGTCTTTTTTAATTAAGATGTTGTACAGACTGAAACCAAATTTGTTTCCACACTTAGCCCAAAGTCATTTTTACTTATATTCAAAGTAAAGCAGGAGTACATAGCCTAACCTCGAAGCAACATCAAGCCCCAGTCTTAAGGTGATTATAATGTCTGAAAGAGTTCGTGTAAAAAGCATTTTTGATATTTTCAATATGGCATTGATCAATGTTTTACACTCTGACTTTCCACGGCCTGTCACTATGCTAAAGTTAATGTAAAGCGTAATGATTTCGATTTTCCAATGGTGAACTTTCCCTTTCTTGATAGCAAAAACCCTGCTTCCTAAAAACCCTCGCGATTGATTTGCTATTAAGCTATCGCTCCGAATATCATAACTATGATAAATATCGACTGCTGATAGACAAACTTGCAATAACGGGCTTGAAGAGATGCAGATAACAGAAAACTATGGACATATTTTATCACAATTTCCTGAGAAATACATGTTGTATGTATGCTATTTCTTTCTGTAATATGAATGTTTAAGTTTCCTGTATTATTATTGTCATTAGTGTGTTTTGCTGTTTCGTTATGACTTACTCAGTTCTCACTTTGAGGAAGAATCTTTATATCGTTTTTGAGTTCGAATTAATTACGGTTTTGTTGACACATTTGTATTCTGTTGTTGTTGTTGTTGTTGTTGTTGTTGTTGTTGTTGGTTTTGTTGTTGTTGTTGTTGTAGTTGTTGTTGTTGGTTTTAGACAGGCCATCAGTATCATATATGCAGATAAGTGCCTGGTGTGTGTGATATAATGAAATATCACGTCATGTCTATTTGGCAGGTTTTCCATTTTTTTACTATAACAACTAAGCTAGAACTGAATAATGATAAGGCTGCAGGCACGACCTGCCCCGAGCTTACCAACTGTTTTATAATCATTAATAATCTGCTGACACTGACAGCGTTGCTGTTAACGAATTGCAAGATAAAAAAGACACTAGGCGTCAATACACTCAACCCCGAAAGGTAATGATTAACTAATAAGACACCAAATCAAAGGAAAGAGTTTTTGAAGCTCAGAAACAAAAACTCCGTAACCAAATGGGGTGGAACGGAAAGGTTGATATTTAAGAGACTAGTGAATACCACCATTCTCCCAAAAAACAAAATACAGGTATTTACAATTTGAAAATTTGGTATCCCTGTTCTATAATACTGTACTTGCAAACAAAGTTAAAACTGTCTTGCTGTCAATAGGAAAGAAACTAGTACTTTATCGAACGATATCATAAAAGCGTAACACAGTGTCACATTGTTTTTGGTCGACAGCGTTATTGTTGAATTTCGTGAGACGACAACTGTCGAACAGGCTATTTTATCGAGGACTTGTAGTTACTGTGGGTAACTAGGTATATCCACTTTTATCAGGTTGTTTGTGTCAGCGTCTGTCATGGGAATCCTGCATAATGTTTATAAATTATATGTTTTTGTTGTACTTTTATAGCGAGGTATCATGTATTTATGTCTTTTCTACATAAAGGATAAATATTTGTCCATTACAGTGTCGATGAACCTGTATTTAAATATGTCGTTATTAAATATGCATTAATGATTGACTATCTATGGTCCAGATGTTTAGGCGATTAAATTTGATTCGGGAACGTTGGCAACATATGCGCGATTTATAGGTTAAATGCAACCCGCTACACAAAGCAGAATTGTTATTTACCGAATAGTACTCTATTATACAGTTGTTAGCTTTTAATTTCAGAAATACACAGGAATGATATATCCCGATACTTATGGTATATATAAACCACTAAATACATTCTAATTACGCGTTTTATAAAATGGTATGCTATTTTGTACAAATCGATGTAAGCTCATACTGTGCAAAAGAGCATATCACTCTGCAGTTTCCTGAAGCAAAAATGCACAGCAAAATATAATCAAACATTTTTACGTATTGCCAGGTCTTGGTGATATGCTTTTAAACGTAATCAGTGAAAGTTTAAGTAAATCATTATTTTTTCTAATCTATGCATATGTATCATGACTGATAACGCTCCATCTGGAGCAGAGGTTCAACTATTTCTTATAGTTAATAATGATAACAATAATAATTCGAGGTTCTTCTATACCGCTCTATCACAACCTAGTACGTTGGTCGTCTCAAAGCGGGCCTTTGCAACCAGCCAACATCTTTCTCAATTCCCCGGGGAGTATACAGCCAGTGCTGCCATTTCGGCGCTCAGAGCTAGCATTAAAATATTTTAGCACTTCCCAGCCACGTACTCATTTACAGCTGCGTAGGCTGGAACAATCGTGCCTCATCACTAATATCAATCATTATGAATCATAGAAATCATTCAAAATACATATACTACCGTATGCTAAAAATAGAGATTTCTCTCTTTTGTATGCAACTATTTGGTTTTTAATATTTTGGCTATAAACGGTCGAAGCAGCAATTCACGGTAGAGGACTTTCTGTTATGGTTCTTTTCGTAGACAGCATAGAATCGATTGTAATAAAATACTTCAAGCTATGCCTGTAAACGTCCAAATGTCGAAAAGAATCATTCATCATCTCTAAGATATCCAATTTTTTTAACGGACGCTGTCGAAGATTAGCCTACAGAACACGTTTATATTCTTTCCTACAATATAAGTCACCTGTTTAAGATTTGGAAATCTAGGTTGAACAAAAGTATGATCCAGTTAGATGTGTTACAAAACGAAATAGTAATTTTATTCAAAATGGCATATTCATCAAAAGTCATCCAGCGAAATACAAATAAATAAGAGTGTTCACATCACCATGTGATTCATGCCATTGTCAGTAAGCGCGTGATCACCTGAAAAGGGAAATCAACATACAACATATCAGCATAACATTGTTGTTGACCTCATCTGATAACATGTATGTACTATTGGAGTGTTGGTCTGTGTTCTGACTTGGGTCTGTGGTAAGTACAAAGTCAATACGTGATTGGTTAAACACGGTAAAAGACACGGCAGATTTTAATTACTAGTGCTTATAGATTGTTCTAAGCTATAAATTAATATAACACAGATTAGTTATTTGTAAAACTTGCTTCCTTAATGCAGTTTTCAATCTACAGAAATAATGGGGCTTTTGTTACCGCCACTAGGTTAATCAGTTAATTAATGCCAATTTAGAAAGCATCAGAGAAACATGCCAACTATCTAAAACATCAAGTATAAATCTGTCATTGATGGTTTTCACATCAGTATCTCCATTCCCTGGAAAATATTTTATTAGTGTATTGATCGAAGTAAAAATGTTCTTTTAAAGTGTAATGATTTCCTTTGTTTGCATAATGACTTCTTTATCTGCATGTGATTTTAAGTCATAAGTTATACATCACATTTGTTTGGGAGCCTGGGATCAGAGCACACATAACTACGTGACGATTCCTGCCAGTAGTAACATCTACTTGGTGATACGAATGATGTGTGCTTTGGCGACAGACGCCTTCCTGTCGTCAGTCCACTTAACCGTGACATTACCTTTGATACAATGGTATACGAACAGATCACTGTTGAGCGTAGTGGGAGTTACCAGTGCACTCGACACGATGAATTAATGCATGATGTCACAGGTATGTAGTTAATCTGACAAAAATGACTAATTATAAGTCAAAAGTATATTTCGTGACAATTGAAGAATAACTACAATGAATGACCTTCCTGATGCTCGGAACAAGAACAAATCAAATTGTAATATGGTTAGATATAGTAAGCAGTAGGTAGTGTGGCAAGGTTCTGACGTGGAGGACGTCTTCCTCCTTCCAATTTGATTGGTCAATAAACTTCTTTATATTTCTTTTTACAAAATAATTCGTTACTCAACTCCCATTTCGCTATTGACAAAATATTTAAACTTTTGAATGATACAACCAACTAATAAAAGATATTTTCTTGACTTGTTTTCTATCTTGTAACCAAAACAAGGATACGTTATTGTCTCATACCAGCTTGTTTGAAAAAGTGTTAAGCAATCATTTAGGTCGTCCTAATATATTCGCAGCACGTTCCTGGTCCTTGTTTTCCGCTTACTGGACAGCATGAAAAACGCTTCAACGAATCTTTCTTTATAAGTACGTTTTTTGTTATAAATGCACT